TGTGTGTGTGTGTTGTGTGTGTTGTGTGTGTGTGTGAAAAGAGGAAAGGCCTGCATGTTTTTCTTTTCTGCACAACCGAATTCTGCTCAGACTAAGTTGAAATGTCAGTGTCTGTAACATGCCCACCCTACATTCTCATACACTGTTCACATTCTCTTCCAAAGAGTACACCGACCTATCGTTTGAGAGCATGAGTACAGCAGATTCTCTCCAGCTTCTGTCTGTCTGTCTGTCTGTCTGTCTGCCTGTCTGTCTGTTTGTCCGTCAGTCTGTTTGTCTGCCTGCCTGCCTGCCTGTCTGTTTGTTTATCTTCCCCCACCTTCTCCCCTCATGGCCTGCTCTGCAACGATTTTCAACCACCAAGGGATCATTAACGTGCAAAATGGGCACAAGGGACCTCAGATATATTTCGCCCTAATCAGAGAAGAAGACTAAGTGCTCGATCTTACCACCATTAAGATCAGGGGTATGGGGGAAAGAGGAGATTGAGTGAGAGAGTCAGTTAACGTTGTGCCTTGGCCAAAAGTCTCCGGGTGACCAATGTTATCCCTCTCCCATCGTTACAGTTTCAATCACTTATTTCGGAGGCGAACTGTTTTAAATCGTCTTGCCACAGCCAACTCGTGCTGTGAGGCACAACTACATGCTTGCAGGGAGACGAACTGGTCGCTTTTAAGCACAAGGGGGCTATCCCGAAAAATGCTGTTTTGAGAAAATCAAAGGTAAAGATTTTGTCCCTTGTTGAGTTTCTTTAAAAGACAAGGAGAGTTTTCTCTATAACCAAAAATATATAATACACACCAATGAAACCAAACTTCCCCAATAGGTAGAACAATGCCCACATTTGGTGTGGGTAAAGATTTCAGGAAACCCCCGAAATCTGGGTTAGCCCGCTCGTCCTTAAAAGCGACCAATTATTATTCTCACTAAATTATGTATATTCTAAAAGTGGACCCTTGCCATTCGGGGAAGCTGCGCAAATTCATGTCTTTTTTCTGCGTAGGACAAATTCAGTCGCTTTACCATCACACGAGACACCGTTAGTTTTCCCGTTAAAAAAGGCACAAAAACGAGAAAAAAAACAACAAACCAAATTTGTTTTAAAATGACAAGCATAACAGAAATAATACCTTCCTCCCTCACACACACACACACACA